TATATTATAGACTGAAATTAATCTGACTGACATTACTACAGCATTCATTATAGCTTTATTAAATCCATTTAGCTGTTAAAAATGAAGACAAATGTCCTGTCAAACAATATTATATTCTATAATTAATCATCATTGTTTTTATAACGTTGGCCACATGGGTTTAGTGTTGAAGTCAGCTTCTGAAACTCACATTGCACTTTTTAATATTATGTTATTTAAAGATAGTAGCTCAGTGCTTTTGAACAAATAAGTGAAGGTTATGTAATATTTCTTCTGTTCAGCCTGTGATGGGACTGTTTGTGTGCTAATTAGTGTTTTCTTACCTTTTTTCTTTTGTTTCTTTCTGAGTATGCTTGTCTGTGCTGTACTGTTTGGCACGAAACAAAAAGTTAAGCAGTATTTGTGTTTGCCATGAGCAGGTGCAGAGTGTTAAACCTGCACCGTAACCACCTGGTGTGTCTGCGTCAGCTGCCAAAGCTCCCCGCAGTGGAGCACCTTTGTCTGTCTGAGAACGCCATTGGTTCCCTGGGGGGACTGGGAGCTCTGGGGAACAGCCCACTCCGTTCCCTGAACCTGACCCGCAACCCAGTGACCTTCACTCAGGACTACCGTGCACGGTAATCAGACTGTACCAGAGGCTGAACTCAGTTCTGCTTAGTATTAATTAAACCACTACTGGTTACAAATAGAGTGTGAATATGTGAAATAGGCAAAGTAAAAACACCAACATTTATCACGTTTTGATCATTTTGTCCCATTTCAGCCCCCGCCTATCCAAACATCCACTCACTTCCACAAACAAATCACTCCCTGTTGTAGTCCTTTTAACTGAGTGCATTGCTGCCAGTTCCTCTATAATCGCCAACATTTATGTTGTCCCAGTGGCTGTGTTGGACATCACAGCTCTCGTATTAAGCCCAGGAGGAAAAAGCTCAGACTGAAGCTCCAGATTTCCCACAACTTCCTCAATTCATCTTGTTTACCTTAATACAGTAGAGTCTACCAAAGTCTTTATGAACTCCCCGTCAGAGAATGACTTAGTGGGGGGTCAATCTTGGTCTTGACTGGTCCATCACTGGATAAAAGATTCAGATGTCTGTTCCCGCTCTTCATCTGTCACATTCTTGTTCAGTTTCGTAATGAAGTTCAAAATGCAGTCCCTAACACTGTAATGCCAAGTTTATTGTTTAAAAAAACAAAACAAAAAAACTGCAGTTTCAAAATAAAAGCATCAGTTGTATTGGGATTTTGCAAAAAAACATTAAGTTGGTCTCTAACGGGGAGTTATTCAAAGAGTGTTTGGTGACTGAAGTGGGACAAACTGTGTGATGTGTACTTTTTTATGTGTGCATCCTAATTTCCCATCGACCTGGAGACAACCAAAGGGCCGGATATTTCCTGTAGGCCATACAATGCCCAGGTCTGCTCTAGAGGATAATGTCTGTGTATCTATAAACTAATTTATACTCATTTTCTGTCTCTCTTCATTTTCAGTGTTTTCTCCTGTTTGCCAAATCTCGAGGTCCTGGATGGAATCCCCAAGCTGCCAGAAGACTTGCTGCCCCCCAGTTTACTGCTCCCAGAAACCAGCAGGATGTGTAATATTTTGTGACATTCCTCCGTGGTAGCCTGCACTTTGAAAATGTCAGCTTTCAGAGATCTCCTCTGAGGGAAAGTGGCCAGGTAACATTTAAATGAAGGACTTATTTACACAAACTGTCATACTTACTGCCGTTAAGGTCACGGGTTGAGGCATTAAGAAGAATAATCGTAAGGTAATGCTTTTAGTACCAAGTAACAACTACCAGTATATTACTGATATTTTTAAATTTAGATTTATATACAATTTACAGCTATTTTGATAATAAACAGAAAATACCATCAAGACTTTCAAGTGTTTATTTTTTATATTAATTTTTACAGATATACAGACGGGTGATTCTAACAAACTCTGGATTTGAAGGGAAGGAAAGCAAGCTAATCAGACTGCTGCATGACTCATTGCTCGGCATCTCTCAGTGCTTTGCTGAGCCGACACGCTTACACTCCTGCTTCTGCTGCAGCAGAAACATACAGGGGAGGATTTTATTATTATTATTATTATTATTATTATTATTATTATTATTATTATTATTATTATTATTATTATCATCATCCTACTGTCTTAACTATGAAAAAAAGCAATTCCGGGGAACTAAAATTTAATTTCTTTTTAAACTGTAGCTGCGACTTTAGATTACACATGTTTGCATGACGTGTATTATATGAGAGGAGAAACAGGACATCCGCTTTAGAGGCTTATCAAACATTTAGTGTCCAGACTCCCTCGGATAATGGCTTCTTGTGTCCTCAGGCTGACTGGGTAATGACCCAACAAACACACACCCACGTACAACTTGCACACACAAAAAAGTAGATAAAAAGAAATCGGTGGCTTGAAAAGCACTCACACTGACAGGATTTAATACCTGCTAAAAGTATGTGTGCTCTTGACATTGTAAAGCGGTTTGGATAAAAGGGTGAAGTCAATGACACGTGCACTGTTCTAGATAAACGGTGCTGCAGGGGTTACGGCTTAGATATTGATTTATTCATACATCATGGGAGCCTGTTCTCTTGTAATAATGGATTCACTTTCAGTCTGCACCTGCAACATAAACACATTTTGCCATGTGATACTGCAGAACATGATTATGAATACTGCCGCACACACATCCCGAGCAGCCACCTATGCACATAATGGGAAGCAGCTGCATTCTCTTTGCTCACAGTAATACAGAGAAACAGAAGCTGATATCTCTCTAACAAGCGTACAGCCAGGCACAAGCTACCAGTTACATGCTTCATTGGGGTTTGTTTAAGTGTGGAAGATTGTTTGTGCAATTGTGTGTTATGCGCGCTGAACTAAGTCTCCAGCTGATGAATGAGAGTTCGTTACTGGTGTAAGGAGACAGTGTGATCTGCTCGATGCATCTGTATATGTACTGCAAGCTGGATACGGGTTAAGAGGAAAAGTTAAGGTATTATCGATAATCTCTGCAGACAGTATTCGATGCCAGGACTTCTTTTGCAGTGTGACAGTAAAGCAGAAGATGGAATTGTTTTGTTGTTGTTTTTTTCTCTGAGGGTAGAAAAAGAACACATATTGCTTCGAGCTTTAGCTTTATGTAAGTTTTGAACTGGTGTTAAATGGAAGATTTGGTCATTTGTGGCAACTGTGTGGGCATTCGTCTCAAGAATTATTTATGCCTGGTGATTCACCCGTGAAATGACTGAATATAAGGGAATGGTGGAGGAGTTGTCATCTCTGCATTGGTTGTTATAAAAATATATGTGTGGACATCTTCCTGTGGCCTGTTATTAGCGCAATGATGAGACACCTGTTACCGTTGTACTCCTCCAGCATCCCGCAGTCCCTCTGTGGAGCGGATGGGGTGATGACAGGAAAAGGAAGGGAGGGCACAGCGAGAGGCAGAGGAACAAGTACTGTGATGGAGATGGGAACAGAGAGCGTAAATAGAGACTGAGGGGAGGAGGGTTGATCTGATTGAGACTGTGTGCTAGGGACAAACGTTGTTCATTAGAGATAATTGCCTTTCTCCGTCGACCCCCTCTCGTTTGATTTTCATTTCGTCCTGATTTGCCGGTTCATTTCCCATGTGAGTGAGCTCACATACACATGGCCTTCTTACCTCTCAGCTCAGAGTGGTAGATAAGGAGCAGGGCTAGAACATTTGGGAACATTTGTGCCGTGTCATACAGATGTGAACCAGAGCCTGACTGGCACAGTTTGGACAGTGTTGCAGTTTATTTTGCTCTGTGCACCACCGTAATAGATTTTTATTTAAGATCGAGCAATCAAGATGTGAATGAAGTACAGACACTCAGCTTTAATTCAAGGCCTTTAAGAAAAGTATTGCATTACGTATTTAAGAATTACACCCATTTTATACACAACCCACAATTTCTAGGGGTAATAGTTATACACACTGTAGTGGGAGACCACACCACAACCAAAATGTTTGTGCCATTTGGGGTGGCTCAAATGTCAAGATACTGAACCCCGAGTTATATTGAAAAATAAAATGCTTGTGTGTGTGTGTGAATGGGGTCACTAACAAACTGATCGCCTTTGAAATGGCGGGGACCAGGTCTGTGACCACTCGCAGTCAGCTGCCATCTTCAGAGTGATTTTGGTGCAAGTCAGCTGACATAGTTGCTGCAGAACTGCGATTTAACTGCAAAATAGCATAGGCACTCAGTGACTGTGCTTTTATGTTGGAACACAACAATAGAACCACTTGGCAGCAAGTTGACTCAAACCCCCTGATGTGTAACAGACGACTTGCCCTCAGTCACGTAGTAATTCAGAGTAAATTCAACATGTTGGCAATCTGTGTGTTTATATATTAGACAACAGTTATTTCTGGCTGAGTGACTGCATTCAGTCCAAGTCGGACTGATTGTTTAGAGAAAGCCTGCCTCCTACCAGTTGACCCGTGCAATTTCCTTGCAAGTGAAAGTGGTTGCTACTACTTCCAATCGGTCTCCAACAGCAAAGTGATTAATGCAATCAGATTTTTTCCAACTTGCAAGGTTGGCATCTTTTTTTCCACTCAAGTGTGACTAAGCTGTTAGATCAGAGGTGTCGAACTCCAGGTCTTGAGGGCCGGTGTCCTGCAGGTTTTAGACATCACCCTGGGTCACCACACCTGAATCAAATGATTAGTTCATTACAAGGTTTCTGGGGAACTTCAAGACATGTTGAGGAGGTAATTTAGCCATTTAAATCAGCTGTGTTGTATCAAGGACACATCTAAAACCTGCAGGACACCGGCCCTCAAGGCCTGGAGTTTGACAGCTGTGTGTTAGATAATCGATCAAAGGTGCAAATCCTAAGTGACCTACTGATGGGAAAACAGGGTAGGTGAGAGTAGCCAAAGCTGAAATAACCCAAAAGTTAACAAATGGATAAAATAATAATAATTTAGATCATTTATGTAGTTTCTATATTTTAATTTTGTTTAAAAAAATACAAATTTTTACCAGAATATTCAGAAAGACTCTTAAGATGAAGTCTTAGATGATTGTAACAAGCTGATTGACCCTCACACCTCCACCACCTTCCTCACACTCACTCAGAGTATTAAAATTGTCAACCACCACTGACGACTTATTAGCAACCTTAAAGCGCATTTTCAAAGAGGTGAATATACAGAATCAGACTACACAGATCACAATTATGTGAAATCTTCTTTATTCCACACAGGCAGCAATTCAGTACAATGAAACCCGCACTTTTCTGTATCAAATATAACTGGTGTACAAATGTACAAATATTCAGCATTTATTTTACTATACATTGCCCAGCAGACTAGAGAAGCTGCAGTAAATTAAGAGTAAATTCCCATCAGCAGTGGACATGAAATAGTTCTCCATTAAAGGCCATGCTGAATGAAGCTTAAGGATCACCAACTGGTGTGCTCTTCTCGCTCCCACCTCATCAAAAAATGATTTTCCAAATGTAAAATGACCTAAAAAGACTTAGGAGAATGGAAAGGCACATGTCACAGTGAGCAGCTTCACCAGAAGTGGCTTACCGATTGGCATCTGTAATAATATCCAGGATATTTTTTTTAATGCACCAATGTATCAGCTTTACAAAACTGGTAAGGATCACGATAACACAGACTTTTAAAAATCAAAATTTTGCACTTTTTTTTATGATTGTCAGAGTTCGTCCTATTAAAAAATAAATAACAGAAAATGACATTTGAGTTCTACCGTGATTACAACTGTCTGCATGAAACATATATATATGTATGAAGGCCTGATCGTGACATCAGAATAAACATGCATCCTTTACACACACACACACACGCTCAAACAAAGCACTTTGATAAACAAAATACATTCTCTGCCTGCTCTTAAAAACAAGAACTACCAGGCAGTCAGGCAGACGAGAAAGTAGACGGAAAATTAAATGAATAAAAATTATATAAAAACTATACTGTATAGATCTCATTTACACCCACCAAATTTTGTCCATTTCCACAGTGTCAGCTGATCCTTTCAAATCTCAGAAGTGTTTGAAATATTGTCCTTCATCTTCTGAGCATAATATCCCAGTTGTATCTCAGTGGATGGCTGGTGCTATTCCTTTGGGATTCAAGGGAAAGAATGCCCTGATTGGTACTATAGGCAAGCTTTTAAAAAACCAAAAAGGCACTTCTACATTTCTGCCCTTTGATCGTTTCCCTTGTCTGCATCCTCCTCCCCCTCCTCTTCTTCCTCCTCGTAATTCACGTCCTCGTTATTCTTGGCATCATTTCTGTGATCCCCGTCCATTCTTGGCCCTTCATGGTTTTTACCTTTATCCTGGAAGCGAATTACAAGCACACAACCTGATTTAATGACCAGGAGTCATGTAAACACGATCATTTCAGACATTTACAGTTAGTGTTTGCCTCCTGTGCAGCGATGCATGAATGAAGCTTAGATCCGCTGAGCTCCTGTTGCAGAGGTGGTAAGTGGCAGTATGAACTATAAGTCTATCAATGTGATTTTTTTTAATGAAGTCTTTTTTTTGAATATATTAAAGATGATAAATGATAATCGCTCTAATCTGTCTCCAAGGTCAGAAGTTACTGTTAGTTACAGACCAGCTGACAGTGAGGAGTCAGATGTCTTTCTCAAGGATATTTCAGCTCTGTGGACGGCTGGTTTTCAAAAGTTTTCAATGTTTTGCAGACTTTATAAAGACTGAATAAATATCTCAAACCAATTAAAATACCACATAACAGGAGTATTAAGGCTTATAGACTTTGTCATATATTGAGACTTCCTTATATGCCAAATTAAACCAAATG